TAGATACTGGGAGAGGCAAGTCTCAGGGGAATGATCAGAACCCTCAGTCCTTTGCCCAGAGTTGTCCAGGGCAGGTGTCAGGGCAACCCCAGGGGTGTGCTGCAGGCCTGATGTCCCCACCCTGTGCCCCAGGCCACTTTCAGCACCACAGAGATGGCGCTGGCGCTGAACCGCTACTTGTGCCTGGCCGTGCTGCCACTCATCACAAAGTGTGCGCCACTCTTTGCGGGAACTGAGCATCGCGCCATCATGGTAGACTCCATGCTTCACACAGTGTACCGCCTGTCCCGCGGCCGCTCGCTCACAAAGGCACAGCGTGATGTCATCGAAGACTGCCTTATGGCGCTGTGCAGGTGGGAAGGGACTCGGGCATGGGCGGGGCCGCGGGGCCTAGTGGGCCTCACGTGACACCACCACTGCCTTGTGCATGTCCTCACAGGTACATCCGCCCATCCATGCTGCAGCATCTGCTGCGGCGCCTGGTGTTCGACGTGCCCATCCTTAATGAGTTTGCCAAGATGCCACTCAAGGTGAGGGCGGATCCTCTTTAGCAGGCTCATTTCTGTGCCCCACCCACTGGTTTGCCCTGTCCTCTGATTATGGGGCTCATTTGAAACAGTCCTGCGCAGTCCAGGTAACCTGCACCAGTGAGGGCAGCGTCCCCATGGAAACCTCTTAGCATCCTCATTTGCATACTAGGATTTCCAAGATATTCACTTTGCGTCATTGGTGCCTGTAACATTCCCTAAGTAGAGTTTAATTTGCCAAACAGTGAGCCAGCCCCTGTTTAATTAGCATATATTTGCATAGGGCAACCACTCCCCCTGATTAGCATATTCATTGCATGCCCAGACCACCAGACTTCCAGTATTCAAATAAGTGCATTTATTTGAATAAACAGTACCACAGCTAGTCTGAATATTTGCACACTGTGTCTCCTATTCTTTATTTGAATACTGGTTTGCATAAGGAGATACCCCTAACTCAGATATCTCAACTATTTTGCCTAATACATCTAAATTAGCTTCTATTTCAAATTTGCATATTGGTTGGTAGAGATACTAGTCTATGTATGTTGCTTATAGCAAAATACCCGAAGCTGGGTGATTTATAAAGAAAAAAGGCATTTATTGCTTACAGTTTCTGAGGTTGGGAA